GAAACACAAGGGTAATAACAAAGGCTCTGAATTAGCCCTGAGCGAAAGAATGCTAATGCACTTAGCACAGAACTCACGGTAAAATACCCTTATTACTTATCGGATCTGCACAAACAAGATATTGATTAGGAAGCTGAGATTCCACAGATTCCAGAAATATAAGTATCATCACCGAGCGATCAGAACTCCCTACAGGGGCAGCAAACCCAGACATCACACAACGTAGCTTTACGGAGCAAACACGGGAGAAATGTCTTACCTTTTGCTGTTTCTGATCAAAAGTTGTGTTCAATGGCATTAAAACGATAAAAACGCTGCTGAAGGTTAATCCATAGGTTAATCCAATGTGTCTGAAATGATTACTGACAATCCATCTTCATATTTATGTCAATAACGGAGTTTTCATATATAGCTGCTATGACAGCTTCCGGTTTTGGGCATTCTGGCTACGCATCACTCATTCACCAATGGGTAATGTTTAGATGGATTTTAGGAACTTCCCCTCGATTCTATTGGCTCTAACCGTTAAAAAGAGGTCTCAATCATCAAAATCGACCGAGGGGGGCCAGAGATATTGAAAATCCACCCAAATGACCCCAGAAGTGGTTTTCTTTTGCTAAACCTCTCTAAAAAGGTCAAATGTCACTTGTTTTGCATCAATCTTGATACAGGGTACTTATTATATGTTATAGTTTGGATTCCTAAAGCTTTTAGTCTCCAATCCCATCATTCAAGGGTGGTTTTCACTATAAGTAATTTTTTATTTTTGGACGGACACTATAATTTACATTTTTTTTTACTATGTTCAATCTGAATTTACTTTAAAATAAAAAAAATCTATATTGATTCTGACTTTTCTACATCCAACTCACAGGTTTATCATTGCTTTGAGAAAAAAGATGATTCATTTAACCCTTTTAGAAGTGAAGTTATAGTCATTTGTTCTGGGAATGTCATTTCCGAGCCTGAGGCCTGAAAAACAGGCTCGGGGCTTAAGTATCTGGGGTGGTGAAAAAGTTTGACCATATGATTTGCTATATGTTGGGAGACAGGTGGACGAGTGACTCGGCACCGGACAAGTCATATCGAGTTTTATCAGGGCAAGAGAGGAGGTAAAAACTATTGTTCTTTGTATTGTTTGACTGCATAACCCAAGAAAAATAAACTAAACTAAATAAATTATCACCTGAACAATGGACTTTATCGTGCGTAGGATTCACTACCTGGTGCATCAGCGGGAGTTTAATATTTGAGTTAGTTTTGTTTGGAAAAAATCCGGAAGAAAGCATGAATGTGGATTTTCATCTGTTGTGATATCCCGAGAATCAAATTGCCTAGAACAGTAGCATATGACAACTTACTAATGGATTACCCAACATACTTTGCAAACAGATCATAGCCCAGCACAGTGAGGAACATTAATTAAGCCTGAGCATATGCACGGCGTGACTTTCCTAATGTAAATACGCAGTATGTGTGAGGTTTGTGGGGGTATGGCTGCTTATTTGAGTGTGCGTCTGTGGGTGGGGTGCACATATGGTGGTGAGTTTTACTGGCTCACCTCTCGCAATGACCCATAAAATACAAACACACATTCGTGCTTTAACCGCCACACGTGGCGAAATCTTGACGCCTAATGATTGGACTCTGTGACCTTCGATACTTCATCGCACCGCCCCACTCTCTCCGTCTCGGTATCAGCCAGCTCGGTGCATCTTTCCCTGTGTTTTACACTCATAATAAAATGCTTCATCCCGCTCCTACACACTCCTCCTCCCCCTCCACACGTTCCCCTAATGAGATAAATTAGCGCCTTGCAACAGATGCATGGAATATACACTAATGGCCACCATCTGTCACTCATCTCTGGGAGACGGAGTGAGAACGCGGCGCTAAATCCGATCACAAGCCCCTGGCAGAGGCCCACCATGGTGAGGAGGAAGGAGGAAGACACACACAGAGAGGAGGAAGAGAGAGAGATAAAGAGTAGAGTACATAGCGAGGAGGGGGTGGCAGTGTGGAGGTTTAGGTGCAGACTGGACCGAGGTACAGTACACTAAGTGGTGGAGAGGCGTCAGAGCTGCAGTACAGCAGGTTAGACCTGCTAGTGATTCAGCTAACATAACAACATCTTTAAAAGTCTCGAAAGGGGGTTTGTCCAATCCCTCTGGCCACTGAAAAAACGGTTTGTTATTTATATCTTGCTTTTGAACTGACTAACTTTCTGATGTTTTGTAAGTAAACACAGGAAGATCCTGGTGGTTGAGCCGTGCTAGTAAAGACCTCCTTTATGCAGAGTTACACAGCCTTTGTGTTAATTCACGGGTCGGGACTTTTATCAACAGGTGGGTTCAAGACCTGAGGTTTGTGGGGGTGGACTCTCTACTTTGTTATGTCTCTGGCTCCTTTTTGTGATTTGTTGTTGATTTTTCTCAGTGTTTTTTCACTCTAGCAACTGTTGTGGTAACTTCTGCATTTTTGATTTTGTAGGAGGGCTGCACGATTTCGAGAAAATAACCAGTTGCGATTATATACAATATGATTCCCAATGTTGGAGGAATAAATCATTTTTGTTTTCTCATTAACATTGAAAAAAACATTAAAAGGATCATGGTGACATTTTGAAGAGGATCTGTACCAAATCAATGTTTTTTGTTTTGACTGTGGAATACTATTTTCAGGCCAGAATATCTCTGTAGTTTCACAATGTTGACTGGTATTTCAACACAATAGTATCATTTAAGTATCTTTTACTTCCTGCAATTTGTACTTTGCACAATTCCATATTGCAATTTCTATCTATTTTTGGTTCATTGAGCAGCTGTATTTTGGAGAGCATGTTAATGCTTTTGTTCTTGCATGTGTTTTGTCCTTAAGGGTAGACTTCAGTTTGGATATTGATACTTCATGTCAATGAGACTTAATGAATACATACAGTTTAAGAACAAAGCAATCCATAATTCCTTGAGGTAAACTTTCAGTTGGACATATTTTATGTTTGTAAAATTATAATATTCAATCAATTATTTTGCTACTTTCAATTTATGCCAGAAGAATACTGGTCGGGACACTATTGAACTTCAAAGGAACCTTTAAAAAATGCAAATGATCAATCTGAGTATGCAACTTGCTGGAAGCAGCAGGGCTTTGTATTTCTGTTCAATGTCAGAATGAGCAGGGAGGAAATTGTGTGCGAGGGAAGACTTAAGCAACTCTGCAAAGGGCTTAAATAGCAGTCTGAATTGCACCATTTATGCATAAGATACCTAAAAGAAATCACTCAAAGAAAAAAAACTCAACGTCAACTCCCACTCTGGGATCCATCACAGATATTCTAATGGAGCTTCCCCTTGACGGCCGGTAATTCCCCCAGCAGCGTTCTCCCGTCAGAAAGGAGGACCTGCTGCAGAGCAGACGGACGTTCTGACAACCTGCTGCGGCTGTACCTGCACAGGAAACTCAGCTTTTGATATCTAATGTCGCCGTGACACTTCCTCTGTGCAAATAGCCACGAATCCATTTATAGAATGTAATCAGACTAAGATATATTCCAGCCTCGAGCCTGTACATTAGCATGCAGCTTATGATGAAAGTGAAGGGAAACAATGGGAAACAAAAAGGGCGATGAAAAGGCGGACGAGCCACGTATCTCTGGACCCAGAATAAAATGAATCACCCGGGGAGCTGCCCTGTACAGCTTCCATGAGAACAAATGGACTAAAGCCAACCACAATTAATCACTATTTGCATTGAGCTGGCCAGACTTCCTTTTTTGTAACTGGTTTAACTAATGATAACAAGTGGAAATTAATTACTTAAAGCAAGAAAAGAAAGAGAAAGTTGCCATTGGAGGAAAATAACCTTTTCAGGAGACCTTTAGAGAGCCATAAGGAGTGCTAAAAGGACAATATAACGAACATGTATAACACAGTGGAAGTTTAATCCTTAATAAATTACATTAGATATTCATATTGTAAGTTAAAGATAAAATGATGAGCTCAGGACAATTATTAGATTTTTTGTGTTAAACAGAGGCAGTGTGTATTGGACGGAACCACTGATCCCTATAAACTTCACAATCCAGCAATCATACCGCATCAACATTTCCACTGAAGGCTTCACATAAAAAGAAACTGGCCCCATAAAAGCGTGTCAAATACGGCCAACCTCTCATAAAAGCACTGATGAAATTCTCAGACAAAACTATAAATGGCATCTGTAGAGAAAAATAAAATACTGCACTTTATAGAGCGGAGCTGGACTGCTTTAGTGCATTTTTTAAAGTCAGATAGGTAGACCCGGTGACATACCGTTAATAGCTGAAACACAAACCCTCTGCAGCCTTCAAACTTCACAATGCATTCACAACATTCAATCCATTCATCCTGTCTTTATCTTTATAGTCTTTACACTTTTGACATTTTAAAAACTTTTTCAAGACTGCAACGTATTTAACACCTGACTAGGGATGCACCGTTATTCATAAATGTAAAGGAAGTGTGTGTCCTTCCTGAAGTCTTAGAAACTTCTAGTTAGTTTTTCATATTGATTTATTGAACCATCATTTAAACTTAAAGACGCCCTTCACTCCAAAATGTGTTTCTATATGTCTCCAAAAAATGCCTCACCTTGACTTCACTGACTTGCATACGGGAACAGTTTGAGAGATGTGTTTTCACATTTCTCCTCTAAAGGGGGGGGGGATGTCATGTCATGCTTCAAAATATGAGATTAAAGCTAGATTCTCACACATTTCAAAACAATGTGCTGTCTAATACAGGAATGCCAACACATGGCGCTTCCAATTCAGCTTGGAGCTACTTCTTTTGACAGCAAACATGACAGAGTATACAGTTTTAGGATTTAAAACCCTGAATCTTCCATTCACTATCTACCTTAAACAGCATATATTATTGTATTGTCTCTACCACAACCAGGTACACGCTAATGTTAACATGCTAACAAACTATATTAGCCCAACATATGCTAACTGCACTCACCATTTGGAAATGTCTCCTAGTGTTCGGTTTTGGTGCACACCTGTCTTCTTTATCAGTTTACAAAAATGGAAGAGACTCAGCTATACATATTTAACTCAGGTGGGGGGTCAGGAAACCGAAGTGTTGTTGGCGCGCGCTGATTCACCTGGCACTCGTTACATCCACGGTCCATGAGCTGGACTCATGAGCAGCAGGGGGCGTGGCTAAACGAGCATTTGTCAAATAGGGGATGTGTGTTTCTTTTTTTACTTTTAAAGTGGTAAATCCACGTTAAACTAAAATATTGACAGAGTATAGAGACTGTTTTTCTCTGCCTACCTCAACATGAGGGAATCTGACTCACCTGTTCAATCTAGACCAGGCCTCATATCCCGTATATTTGTATTTATGTATTATATATATATATATATATATTCTTTGAAATAATCAATACATCTCCGATTTGATTGGTTTATAACACCATTTCTTATCATGGCAATACAGTTACATCAACTCAACACAACATATTGGACAATTATGTGTAACTGTGGTTAACGCTCACAGTCAATGTTTTGTAGTACAGGTAGGAAATAGGGTCAGGTACAGTATGTGTTATTTAGGTATGAAAAAATCATTATTACACTTAAAGTGTGCAAATTCCAGCATGATATTCTCACATAATAGAAAAACACACTAACCCCAACACCTTTATGTTTGTGTTTCAGAAACAATAGCCCTCAATAATTTTGTCAAACAATAACAGCATAACATTTAGTAATTTCATTTTTTGTCAAAACATTTGAGGCATATCTCATTAAAAAAAAGTAATGATGTTAATTAGGGTTAATGTTGAGAGTGGAGCCTTTTTAATTAAACAGCACTTAGATCAAGTGTCAGATATGTCGACAAAATTACAAATGTACTCATACACTCTATTAAGGTGATATACAAGCAAGCTATACTGTAAGCAGGTTGGTTAAAGGTTATTTCTGGTAGGTTGTGGGTGGAAATATTAAGGAGCCATGTTTACATGATTCATGTTCAAAAAGCTCTTTATTTTTCTCATACTGCCTGTGCTGTGGCACCTCTTGTCACCCTCTGTCTGAAACCAGAGCCCAGTCTGCTCTGATTGGTTAGCTGGCCGGCTCTTTTGTGACTTATCAACTGTTTATATATGTCCCACCCCTTAGCCTATCACATACAATGTCTTGGAGAGCTAGCCAATGGATGCGCAGGTGTTACATAGTAATAGCTTTGGATAAAAGTGTCAGCTAAATGCAATGTAATGTACTAATGTCACTATGTTACGTAAGTAAACACAATAGTCCACAACAACCTATATAACACACTACCCCAATAAAAACCCAAAAAGCATAATAGAGCCCCTTTAAACTTAGTAATGCGTATATCTCCACCTAAGAAATAGTTTAGTTTTAACAAGGCTAAGTTTGAGCTCACTGTTGATAAAAGGTAATACTCATTAATGATATACTGGCCCTGCAGTAAAGAATGGAGCTATTTTATTGAGCAGACATCAGTGTGCCTTTCTTTTCTCGTACTGATTAAAAGGTTTGGTACGCAGCCACACACTCCTTCATTTTCCTTTGTGATTGGTTGCTGATTAGTGGGACGTAATTGTTTCTGGGTTTTTGTGTTGCTCCTGTCTCTCTTTTCTTTGTCTGTCCCTTTAAAGTCCTTTGAGACTTGCCGCGTGATAAAGGGCGATGGAGATAAATGACCTTGAACTTTAACTTGAACTTTATCTGCCTCTCCGTCTCCTCTCTGTCTTATTTTTCTCCGCCTTTCACTCCATCTTGCTCTACCTCATTTACATGGCCGGGGCTGCAGAGCTCTAACAATCCATTAGCTCTGCGAGGATGTTGGGGAGATCCATGCAAATAAGTGTGAAATTACACTCTAATCAGTCATGTAAATCGCTCCGGTTCTCAATCTGGGCATCATCATATATTTGTACTTGTTTGGAAAATGGCGTGCGGAGGAGTGGGTGAGGTTTGGGGAGAGATACAGAGAGAGCAATACATGGGAAAAAAGACAGAAGAAATCAAGTTTGATAAGGACGATATATATGAAGAAAAAAAAAAGCTTTGATTCCTCATTCAGAGCTGAACTAAATGTTCCTGTTGGATTCAGATTTATAAATTCAAGCCATGATCAATATTGTGCAGCGATGCGAGACTTCCAGCGCGAAGGCTTTCAGCCTCTTGTTTGATGATGATTAAGGAGAGGATGGAGAGAAGGAGTCTGATGAGACGGAGGGACAAACATGCAGTTTGTGTGCGTTTTGTTCACAGCAGAGTGCCACGGAGTAATGTACAGGAAGAATATTTGAACATGTTTTCATTAAAGTGTCGCACAAAAAGAGCCATGTGGGGAACGTTTTTGACTAAAATAAAATGATTAACCTCTTAAGCCCTGAGCCTGTTTTTCAGGTCTCAGGCTCGAAAATGACATTCCCAGAACAAATGACCATATCTTCCCTTCTAGACGGGTTAAATTAATAATCTTTATTCTCAAAGTAATGATAAACCTGTGAGTTGGATGTAGAAAAGTCAGAATCAATATAGATGTTTTTTATTTTAAAGAAAATTCAGATTTTACATAGTAAAAAACTGTAAATTATAGTGTCTGTCCAAATATTATGTTTTACTTATAGTGAAAACTACCCTTGGATGATGGGTTAGTAGACTAAAAGCTTTAGGAATCCAAAGTACAACATATAATAAGTACCCTGTATCAAGATTGATGCAAAACAAGTGAAATTTGACCTTTTTAGAGAGATTTAGCCAAAAAAACCCACTTCTGGGGTCATTTGGGTGGATTTAACCTATCTCTGGCCCCCCTTGGTCGATTTTGATGAATGAAATCTCTTTATAACCGCTAGAGCCAATGGAATCGAGGGAAAGTTATATACACAACAAAACATTAACAAATAAGGAGTGAGAGGGACGCGTTACCAAAACCGGAAGCTGCATACACTCTGGTGGCTACCATTAGCAGCTAACTTTTCCGCTCCGATTTTTACATAAAAAATGGAATTATGGATTATAAATAATTTTTTCAAAGGCACAGGTACATTATCAACCTATGGATCAACAGTTGTAGCATTTTTTTTTTTTCGTTTTAATGCCATTGAACACGTCTTTTGACCTAATTGACTGCTACGGTGAGACGATCTGCCGTAAAAGCTCCGTAAAGGTACGTGTTGTGATGTCTGTGTTTGCTTCCCCTGTCGCAAGTTCGGATCGCTCAGTGATGATACTATACCTAAATAATCAGTGGAGTCTCAGCTTTAATCGGCTATATTGTATGTGCAGCTACGATAAGTAATAAGGGTATCTTTATCTTGAATTGTGTGCCGCAGTGCGTTAGAATTTTTTCGCCCAGGGGTCATTTAGACGCTTCTTATGAGACTTGTGTTGGGGGTGGTAGTGGAGTACAGCGCTTCGCGATTGTCAACGGGGGGGGGGGGTGGAGTACAGCGCTTCACGATTGTCACATATATTTTCCACTGTCTTGTTGAGTGATCAAATAGTTTATACAGTTATCTCTTAACTTGACTATTTCCTTAAAGAATGACATATTATGATGATAATTTACATTAAATAGTTCTGAAAGGACAAAAAGGAATATCAAGTTTGACCAGACATTTGAAAGGTTCACAGGGCTGTACAATTAGGTGTTGAATGATAACCACTTTTCTTATTTCTTCCATTGGGGCCAAAATCAACAATTCATTATTCTTGCATCCAGACTGTGACATATCACACAAGATAGTCACCTAAAAGAAAAGGAACTTTTTCCGGGAAAAGCAATGTCATCCTCCAACGCACGGCCTTGGCCAATCAAATAAATGCAAGTTTGCAACGTAAAAGGCTAAAATGACGCTCCCCGTGTTAATCAAGATGGAAAATAAATAGAGTGTCACTGTGATATATTCTCAGAGATGTCTCACAGCGGAGCAGTGTTGTGACATCTATTAATCCTTCAATCTCATGGATGTGTTAAATGGATGTGCTAACACGTCATGTGACACCTGTAGCACGCACCACACACCACACACACCACACACACCGTACATACAGAAACAGTAAAAGTAACATGGACGCAGAGTGAATGTTATTAAACTGATGCCTTTCTGGGGGGCGGGGGGAGAATGAAGACAAATTAATCATAGGTGGATGTACTGCCTGAATTATCTTTTTTGTTTTCAATTTGGCTATTTCTATCGTTCTTTAAAATATCTTTATTTTTAAATGCAAGAGCTTGACACCTTGTTTATTAAACAAAAACACCTTGTTTGCTTTTGATTAATGTGTTAAACACACTTTTTAATTGTAATGCAATACATTTTAAAGTAACCCTCCCAACCCTAACAATATTAATTTCCCCGAAGTGGGACCAATCAAGGGTTTTTGATTACACAAAATATCTTCCCCTAAAACCTTTTCAATGCAGTTTTGCTGCATGGGAGCGTCTTTTTACGGAGACCAGGCTCGCCATACCGAAGCATCAGCACCAGGAGATGTAACATCATGGTGCAAAAAAGTGGTAAATAATCTCTCTAAAAGCATCAGGCCATTGAGCCACTTGAAGTCAGATTAAGCCCCGAATAAGGTCTTTCCCCAAAAGCAATAGGATTGGCAGGTAGTACTTTGGTTTGTTGGGATAAACTGCTGCCATTAAAGCTGTAGATGTGGAGCTGAATGGCTGATTGCAGCTAACAGACACTATTAGACTCAGTTTCTCGCCTGTGTCTCCTGTTGGACACCACAATCTGTTACACAACACGCCGTCCCGTGAGTTAGCAGTGCTCGTATTTACTGTACACGCGCGGGAGTGTCAGCATACAGTATGCATGTCGACAAGCCGGTGGAGGAGTGAGAAAGCAAAAGCAGCGAGAGGAGCAGAGAGACAAGGGATCAGGATTTTGGCTCAAATACAATCTGTGGAGGAGTCACTCAATGAGCTGACAGCCGTCACTGAATCCTGCTGGGGAGAGGGCTGAGCCACTGTGGTCAAACACACACGCTGACACACATACGGCACACACA